CCAATAGCCTAATTAACGGCCTAAAGCTTGACCATTAGATCGTAATGTCTAATGGTAGTAACCCTCCACCTAGCCGCAATAGGATTTTCTTGAAATGCAAGATAGAACCAAGTCATAAATAACCAATTGCTTAACATTTGAATAATAAATCAAATTCTATTGGGTCATCACAAACTTCATCCTTCGCTTCAAATTTTCTAGATGTTGCATTCCATGCAAATCCACTAAGTGAGCACAACAAGTCATGAACCTCGCGCCACTTATCCTTCAATACTTTCTACCTATTTTTGACGTTATTTTTTGTAACTGCAATATACCTAAATTGATGAAGATTGTCGACCATATTATTATATGCATGGGTTGTCTAGCTGCAATATACCCGATCTGCAATACACATACCTCTTGAAGACTTTTGAAGCAAGGAATATAACATAATACCAAGGATCTACCACACCAGAAGCACCACAAATTCAGAGAACTACAATGAAAGTCATACATAACCTCCCATCCGCGAAATATCCTCCAACAAGGGACTAACGAAGCCAACAAACAACCACGAGGTGATACTAACCAACCACCAAATCTTTGGCTAGAACCACCACACCAAACTGTCAAATTACCACCCATAACCAAATACAGAACCAATTAACTTCCACCAACCACAAACACAACTTTAAGACCTACATAAATTACAACATATCATACAAGAAATAATCACAAATAAACTTCACCAAAACAAACTAAGACCTAACCTCCACCTCATTGACAAACACTAACTCTAACCTCAAATCCTCCTCCTCCTCCAGATTCAAAACAAATCCTCCTCCTCCACCAGGTTCAGAACGTCCACTACCCTTGAGAAACACATCCATTAGAGCTATAGATTCACCACTAATGTTTGCTTCACACGTTCACTACCAAAACAACCACGTTCACCTCTACCTTCCTTTTGTAACATCTACAATACACAAAAATTGGTTAAACCTACCATTACAAGGTTCATCGCTGCTACATGTAACCTTTTGAAGGTCTTGGAACTGAATACAAGGAGCTTGGAACCAAATACAAGAAGTTGGAATCGAATACAAGGAGTTGGAATTGATTACTCCTCTGCTGGAATCGATTACGATGTGCATCCTTGTGGCCTGAAATCGGATACATGCTCTCTAGAATCAATTCCAGGTGCAAGTGGAATCGATTACCTTGCACTGGAATCGATTCCAACTTCTTCTTCAACCTCCACAATCCTGCAACCTCCATGTTCAAAGTTTTCATCTTCAACCTCTTCACCTTAAACATCAAAACTAAAACCCCAAGCTGCACAAGTTAAAATTTCATGTGTATGGAATGGATGTTATTAACCTTGTTTCGTCTTCAACTAGAAATTGTCTAACTTATATCAAAGAATAATCACACAACAACAACAACACCGAATCATTAACACTCATATCAAAGAAGTCACAACAAGAGTCTCTAGGTTGTACTTCAAAACTCTGGTGAATATTCCAAAGTTTCTCTTTCAACACTCTCGATAGGCAATTCATACTCCAACACCACTCTTTTCACAACCTTATATATGAAGCATGACACTTATTATAAACCAGTAAATGCTACCAACCATACCTACCAAAAAGTGAAAAGTTTTCAAATTAGGCACTATGCAAATCATAAATCTTGTCCTCTTCTATGTAACCGGAGGAATAATTGTGAGTAAGGAATCCTTATGCGTGCTAAAGAAAATCAACACACAATTCAGATAGCTCAACAACTCGTGATAGGGCAACAAAGACATTTCAAATATTATTATTATAGATTTCCTAATCGATTTATCCTTAGTTGGAATCGGTTACAAGGCTTTCATATGAAGGTTGGAATTGATTCTATCTTATTGTAATTATTTATTTCCACTTTTATGTAAGGTAAAAATGATAATTGTACAAGGATTAATTTAACATTTTTTTTAGGTTAAAACCCCTTTGTAGGTCCCTATTAATGTGGGGTTTTACTAGTTACAACCTCGTCTTTTAAGTTTTACCAATTTGGTAATTTATATTGAAAAATTAACTCAATTGGGCCCCTACTGTTAAATCAACTTAACGAGATTAAGTTTTTTATGACTGTGAGGGTGACGTGGACATTTTTTTTGAGACGTGGAGACGTGGCTTGTAGCATTCATGTTCATCTTCCATTAGCATCGTCGCTGCTCACAACCGAGATCGCCACAACGCTATTGCTCCCCTGTCGCATCGTCACCGGGATTCTTCTCTGTCGTCATTGCACAACCTGCAATCAGGAAACAACGAACCCCCGTGGCAACCATTGACGCCATCGTAAGCACCTCTGCAAGATCGCGCCTCCTTGTAGTTCAGATCCAGCAGGACCCATTGTGATGGAAGGAAAAGAAACTTGGAATTTTTTTATTGATTGGTTACGTTATTGGCACCGTTCCAAAAATAATACCCTCGAAAATAGCACCATTGAAACCACCTATTCCAAAGATTACACCAGCATCAAGTCCGAAACCCTCAACCCCCCAAAATCCCTCCACCAAAACCACCAAAAATAGCCCCTATTTCGCTACCACCACTGCCATTATTGCCTACCCCAAAAGTATCCCCAACACCTGCGGAAGCACCAACAACACCAGCATTAGCCAAAAAGGCATCATCACCTGCACACAAAAAGAAAGCGCCAAAACCATCACCTGCACTAACGCCTTCGATTAAAACACCAACCCCAACAGCAGCACCCCAAGATGACATCCCAGAACCTCCTCCTCCTCACAATCTTGATAACCTTTTTTAATTTCAATTTTGTTTTCTGTTTCCCAGAACCTCCTCCTCCTCATATTTTGTTTTTACAATCCGTGGGAGTTTCTTGAGTTTCTTGACTAAGAGGATTGAAGAGAGCCAAAACAGTTTCAACTGTTCTCAAATCATTCTCCTGTCCAGACAACTCTTCCCGGCACACAATTTCCCCAAAGGCTTAAAGGATACACAATCCTGGAAAATGGCCCCACACTGTACATCTTCACCCAACTCTCCTCCAGAAATATCGCATGTATTATTATGATAATGACCATGAATGACCAAAGTAAGCAAATCCCTTCCGATGTCAAATGAAACCACAAATTCAGAATCGATGTTAAAAGCAGACGTCATGGTGGCAAGCCACAATATAGTTCCAGTGATGGCCACGGAGACAATACACAAAAAAGGTTGCAACTTGGCGGCGTCAATTTCCCTCCAAGAGCTGGAGGCTAACGAATAGACCTCGACCCGATCAACCCTAACGTTTTCGAGAATGACCACCTGGTCGTCCGGGGGAAGACGCAATGGAGATTCAGACGATCTTGTAATCGTCAACGAGGGGGCTGAACTCGAATCCGACGTAGTTGAAGGCCAAAATGTTTGTGATGGGACCTTGTCTGATTTGACGGGTGGCCGGGTTGAGGATGGATAGGGCGGTGTTGTGGCAGAGGTAGAGGAGGCCGTTGTAGGAGGCGAGGATCTTGGCGGTGGAGGAAACGATGTGGGAGAGATGGGATTTGTGGATGAGGTCGTGGTGGAGTCAGATGATGCATGTGGAGAAAGGTTTAAAATGTTTCTTTTATAAAATACCACGTAAATGATTATTTAATAAAAAGCCATGTATAAAGTATCCCCACGTCTCAAAAATTTATCCACGTCAATCTCACATGTGATAAAAAACTTAATCTCGTGAAATCAATTTGACAAAACTTATAAAATTATAAGACGAGGATTTAAGTGAAAAACTCGCATGAATTTTAGAAGGAGTTTAACTTTTTTTTAAATCGCTTCAAATCAACAAATTGCGTTGAAACTCTACGAATCCCTCAACTTGTCGCTTTGCCTTGCTTCAAAAAAACATCGTTTATCTCACAATTCTATACGGTCGAGTCATTACACTGACTTCATGTCTTTACTCTTGATTGTTTCGTAACAATTTCGATATATTTTAAATTAACTTTTCATGCTCAATAATTAAAAATGAAAATATCTCAATGTTTTTAGAAAAGAAAAATATAAAATTATGAAGTAGGATTACATTACTTTACGAGTTACATTACTTTAGGAGTAATTCAATGTACTCACTTTTCATTTTTACAGTATTTAATTATTTTAATAATTTGGTTTAAGAAAAAAATATAAAAACCAGAAACCCTTTTTAAAGAATATTTTTTTTTAATTATTCATTTTGTATAAGTGCTCCTTTGATCTTGATATATGCAATATTGACTTGTGAGTTCCTTCAATGCTTCTTTTGTCCACTCTCTGAAGTAAGCAATAGATAGATTTAAATCTCTCTGCTACTGACTATAGAGTACACAGAAAGGTTGAACTTTTCCAAAACAATGACCGTACTTACTGCAACGGTTTCTGTTCATTGGTCCTTCACACAATTAATGCAATGAAATTTTCTTCATCAATTTTTAATTGTAAAATCAATTTTAAAAGCTTAAAAATGTTCTTACCACTAGTGGAAAAATGACATTTTATAACGTACAAAAATGATCTTTTATAACGTAGTTACTGGGGACATAGTTCTGGGCGATATAGTAAGTCTGCGCATTTTATAACGTAGCAGAAATTTACGTTATAATATGTTGAACATATTATAACGTAGTTTCTAAAATCCGTCATAATATGCGTAGTTTATTATGACAAATTTTCGTTTGTCCGTTATAATAAGTGGAAGGTAACATGACGTAAAAATTTTTGTACGTTATAATATGTGATTTATTATTACGTATATATTTTTGTACGTTATAATATGTGATCAACGTATCATGACGTACATGGTTTAGTACGTTATAATATATGTTTTTTTTTAAAAAAAAAAATTAATTATTACATTTAAAAATTATAATAATATACTTGTATTATCATCTTATTCCATCAATTTATAGTTAATATAGCTTCAAATAAAAATATTTAATGAAACTAACAAAATAAAATTCATTTCAAACATTAAATAGTGTAATATTTAATACATCATTTATATTATACATATTTAAATGATTCATATACACTTGTGTTAAATGATTCAGTAGTAGTTGATTCACATCGTCTACCCATGAACAAATCTCTACTCATTGACAACAATTTGCATCCCCAAACAAATGCCCAGAAATGGAACACTATGTTCTCGGGCATACTTAGTCGCAAGAATTTTCCCTTGCATTCCTCCATCACCAAAACCTCTTGGAACTAGAACACCATCAACGCCCTGCAAAATAAGTCCAATTACAGAAAACCAATAAATAATATATCACTATATGAGATTTTAACATATATATCAATATTAAAGATCTGAAAATGGAATAAATATGTTTAGTCTAAATAGTAGGAATACCTTTAAAAGATTCCATGCAACTTTATATGCCTCAGGATCCTGCAGCAATATATTTTAATCAATCGTCAGAGGGTTGCAATATATTTTATATCCAAACACTTTAGGATAAATTCAAAGCAAAAGGTTTAGGATATTGCATGAACTTAAACCACTTAAAATGCAAAAGTATGAAATTCAATTTTAAAAGAAAAAAGAAAAAAAGAAAACCATCAAAACCATGAAATTAACAAATTAAACTACATAAATACGGTTCCAGCAGTGCTTCAATAAAAGGCATGGACTCAATATCCCCTGCATGAAAGAAAAGTCATTGTAAATTAGTTGCTTTAAAATATAGCCGATCCCACCACCAAGTGAGAAGAAACTTGGTGGTTGCCTTAGAATATAGTATTAAAAATATGGATATGAATATTATTTTCTCCCACTGTTTGCTAAGTATAATTCATTTTTAATTTTTAGTTTTCAATTTCCATCTAACCCATAATCTTTAGAATTAAATATGGGAAAAAATTGAATGGATATAGAAATATAATATTGAAAAAGTTATATCTTAATTTAGAATAATTGAATGGATATCGAAATATAATATTAAATCTAGCAGCCAAAATAATTTAAAAAAAAGCTTTTCCTATAACATAAAATGAAAGGCCAAAAACTCTGTCCCATAGTTAATAGATAATTTTATAAATCACACACTGATAGATCCTGATCAACTACCATCACACATTCAGAACAGGGTTAGTAACAAAGTCATCAAACAGAAAAGCCACCATTAAAAGGCATGAAAGACGAAACCTGTTTTGTAGAGTTAAACCTACAAGTTACTAAAGGAAAAATGCAAATGTAAACTAAGTTACTTGGCTGACATTAAATGAAAACTTTAATTCAAGTAGAATGAGTTAGTAGTATACGGGAAAGAAATGTTATGAATGAAAGAAGTGAGGAAAGATACTATTAGAGACCAAAGAGAATCCATTGATACAATAGATTACATTTCAAACCATAAAATAATATGCACACAGATGACTCAGGATTTTCAGAAAAAGCTTTCAGCTAAGTTAATAACTAAATGTTCCAACAATCTATCAGTACAATAAGGTTGATAGATACCTGAGTCAGGTGTGCCCATGCTTCAAGAAAATTTCTATCAATTTGAAGTGATTTTAGATGTGCATCCTCAGCTTTCTTATATTCACCAATTGAAGATAATGCTAAACCCTGTAAAAGAAAGTGTTTACTCAGAAAAATAATAAAGCGATTCAAGTGAGATCTTACTTAAGTGTTATGTGTGCAAGAAAATCATTTATAATAAAAAGTGATTCAAGTGAGATCTTACTTAAGTAACTGAAAATTTCAATCACCTTCTTTTCAACTATATATATAATAAGATCACTAGTCAAACAGTTCCTTAACATGGCTCTACATAAGTCTTGACAACTGCACTAGTTTTGCTTAAACAATACATATTTGACCCAAGTGTTAATGCCTAAACCAAATCAAGTTTCTACTCCTTATAAGTCAAATCAAACATAAGTAAAAACCAGATTTCAAGATCATTTCATTTTCTGTACCAGAAGAGATCCATTTCATTAAGGGTGGGTGTCAATGGGACATACCTAACATGAAGCATTGATTAACTAAAATACCCAGGTTAAAAAATAAATAAATAAATTCCAATCAGCAATGCGAATTGGGTAAACTTCAAAAAAATTTACAAATACTAAGATCGAGTAAGCCACCCCACCTCAACAAACTCCCCCAAGGCTGCCCGAGCTTGACCTCTCCTCTTTCATAATCTCCTCTTCTCTCCTTCTCAATAACAAACTATAAACATCCAAAACAAAACAATTAGAAACATCTGGCTCACCTGATACATTTTTCTAGTAGTGATGTTATTGTCGCCAGTTAATTTAATGTCCAAAAATCGTTCGTAGTTCCCAAGATCAAGTTCAAGCTTCCACAAACAAAAAAAATAATGAAAATGGCAATCTAAAACTTCAGAGGAAAACAAACTGCAGATATCCTCTTTTACTACGACTCAAAAAGTTTTAGCTTGCACTTATGAAGTAAAATGAGAAAATGAAAAGAGCAGGGGAAAGTATAACATAACATACAACCTCAACCTTCCATTGAATTTAGAAGGAAATAAAAAATCTAATGACTGTCATCTTGTTGTAGAAAATTTTCATTTGCTTACCTCTCCGCTATCATCTAAGACGAAAACCTCCGCATGCTCGAAAGGAGACATTGTCCCCGCATCAGTGTTCAAGTAGGGGTCTGCAAATGATGGAAAAATTAAAACAAAGATAAAAACAGTGAAAATAGCATTCATTACTTTACATAATATGATAATAAAAGCAAACATGTTTTATTAAAATTTCTATAAATATGAAAACTAAATTAACAGGGTAAAGAGGGGAAAAGTGTTACAGAGAAGAATGTGAACTATAACTACGGTTGGAAGAGCAGCTCTGAGAAGATGACTGTAGGTGCGACGCGAATCCTCGAAGCTTCTTCCAAAGAGAAGACGTAGCGAAAATATGACAAAAACTCGAAGAAGAACATGAAACAAAGGATTAAACTTGATAGAAACCCTAGAAGAAGAAGGAAACCTATTCTGGACCGATTGATCGGTGTAAATCAAAGTTGAATCGGTGGAAAATGTTTCTAATGGTGAAAACAAGGTTTTAATCGGTGGAATCGAAGGGAAATGGTGAAAAGGAGAAGAAACCCCAACAGAGGGTTTAGCTCTATGAATGATTCGGTGAAAAATGAAGGATAGAGGAAATAGAGATGATTCTGTGAGTGAAGAAGCCTTGCCGTGATGATGAACGACGTGCGACGAGGAGATGTCTCTCGAGAAGGAAGACGCCAGGAAACCGAAATGGAGAGAAATGAGAGTGAGGCTCTCTGATGTGAGAAATGAAAGTGCTCTCTCGAATGCGCGAGAGGAAATGAAATGAGACCTCCAAGCGTGACAGCGAGCGAAGGAATACGCTCCACAACGTGGCTGAAGTTCTGAAAATGATGTGGCTGATGACGGAGATGCCGAGAAATGCAAGTGAGAGGGATGAGACGAATAGCGGAAGAAAAGAATGAGAGTGAACTTGAATGAAATCTAGCGAGAGGGAAATGTGAAAAATTAAAGAGGAAGAGATATTATAACTGATTTCTAAAACTCCGTTATAATACATCAATAATAGGTTTTGAACTTATTTACAAGTTTACCACCGCATTTTATATTATAACTGATTTTTAAAACTACGTTATAATATGTTTGACACTTATTTACAAGTTTGTCACCGCGTTTCATATTATAACTGATTTACAAAACTACGTTATAATATGTCCTATTTTTATTACCATCTTGCCACCGGTCAACCTAGTATGACGGATAATTTTTATACGTTATAATAGCTTCGTTATAGAAAGGTATTTTTCCACTAGTGTACAAATAGTTATTTTATTTTATTTTTCTTTTCATGTATTAAAAAAATATAAATACAATTGACTGATACTGACTTGTATACAGAAAACAAATAAGTGAGACAGAGGCCCCAACAAAGCATTTTAACAGATACAGATAGAAATATTTCTTATAAGTTTTGGGCCACAGAAGAAAAGTCTTCTCTTTGAGATAGGGACTTTGGCTATGGAGTCTTAAGTTTGTAGACTTTTCCTTAAAGCAGTGTTTCAACGGAAGCTGCCCTTTGCAAATTGTTCATTCAGAATTTCTTACTCTTCTGTTCTCCAATAATGTGTCTGTTAGTGTTCAACGTTGTTTCAAAGAAATTGCACCGGCTTCTTCAAGTCTACTGCTTCCTACTTCTATAATTTTTCCCAACCACCCTTAACAAACCACCACTTCGTGATTTCACTATGAAAGTAACATAATGTAAACTTTTTCCACAACCAACCTCTAAGGTCGCATTTATTATTACTCAATCAATTCTATTTATTTGTGGAATGAAAATCACATAAAGAAGTAACATTTTCCATCCAGATACCGTGATGCATCATGTTCATTCCTGTGTTCACATTTCACTCAATTCAGTTTTTTCATAGGGTGCCAATAACATCGTTGCAAAAGCCTAAGCAATTTACAATCCAGGTTTTTTATTCCTTTGGTTTATCAATCACTGTATATTTATGTAGCTGAAGAGCATAGTTCTTGAGATGTTATAAACATGAAGAACCTAATGTCTTTAATGAGAATCATTTTTCTGTGTTATCATATGCTTCTCTGTCTTTGTGAAATTTCCTTGGCACTTGACTCCATTTCTCAAGACCTGTCTCTAAGTGATGATGTTGATAACACCACCTTGGTTTCGAAAGATGGAACCTTCGAACTTGGATTCTTCACCCCAGGAAATTCCCAGAAACGTTACCTGGGGGTTTGGTACAGGAAAATCCCTATTCAAACTGTGGTTTGGGTTGCAAACAGGCTCAATCCGATCAATGATTCATCTGGCATCTTGAGGATGAACACCAGCAGTGGGAACCTTGTCCTCACACAGGATGACAAAGTTGTTTGGACTACAACCTCTTTGAAAAAAGCAGAAAGCCCAGTAGCCCTTCTCTTGGATTCTGGCAATCTTGTGATAAGAGATGAGAAAGATGCAAACATTGAGGCCTACTTGTGGCAGAGCTTTGACTACCCTACTGATACCTTCTTACCAGAAATGAAGTTTGGTTGGGACTTGAGAACTGGTCTCAATAGGAAGATAACAGCTTGGAAGAGTCCTGATGATCCATCTCCCAGTGACTTCTCTTTTGGTATGGTGCTCAACAGCTATCCCGAAGCATACATGATGAAGGGTAACGAAAAGTTCTACCGAAGTGGACCATGGAATGGCTTGCATTCAAGTGGTTCACCACATGTTAGGGCCAACCCCATTTATGACTTCAGGTTTGTTTTCAACGAAGCTGAAGTTTACTACACATATAGCCTCAAGAACTCCTCTGTGATCTCGAGGTTGGTGCTGAATGCAACAAGCTATGTTCGCAGACGGTATGTCTGGATTGAATCAAAGCAAATATGGGAGGTCTACACTTCAGTGCCACTGGACTTATGTGACAGTTATTCCCTTTGTGGAGCTAATGCAAATTGTGTTATATCAGATTCACCTGTGTGCCAATGTTTGGAAGGGTTCAAACCTAAGTACCCTCAAGCATGGAACTCAATGGATTGGTCTCATGGATGTGTCCGCAATAAGGAATTAAGCTGTGAGAACAAACACAAGGATGAATTTATCAAACTGCCTGAGATGAAAACGCCTGACACTACACATAGTTGGCTAGATCAGACAATTGGGCTAGAGGAATGCAGAGCTAAGTGCTTGGATAACTGTTCCTGTATGGCTTATGCAAATTCAGATATCAGTGGACAAGGAAGTGGTTGTGCCATGTGGTTTGGTGATCTCCTTGATATGAGACAGTTTTCAGATGGAGGCCAGGAAGTATATGTTCGAGTGGATGCTTCAGAATTAGGTAGGAACTAAACTTTGCCACCTTTTAGTCCTTCAACTAAATTTCTTAGCTAGGCTAGATTTTCATCTGGGAATACTTATACCAACTTCTGTAAATTTGTGATCACATTCAATTAGAACACACCAGTAAGAGCCACAAGAAGGGAAGAGTCTTGGCTGCAGTGACAGTTTCTTTAGCCGTGGCAACAGTTTCTGGTATTCTAGTAATACTTGGCTTGTGTTATAGAAAGAAATCGCGCGCCAATGTGAAAGGTAAAATTCACATTTCTGCTCCTCTTCTCATGAGGGGAAAAACGGTATCTGAATTTCCTAGTAATGTTGTAGTATTGCATTAGATGTATGCACATATTATTTCCCAGCCATGCAGTGATCCACATCAAAAGCCGTAGAAAGTAAACAGTGTACAGGTTCCACTATTACCAATTTGGTTCACCTTCCTTGGTCAATATTTTCTTGCTAAACGAGAAGTTTGAGGAATTCAATTTGAAATAAGAGGTAAAAAAGACATACGAATGTTGAGAAGTCATGGAATGATTTTTTTTTCAGAAATGTTTTATGAGGGAGAGATTACATAACATGACTTAAGTCCAATTCGAGATTGATGTCACTTTTAATGTAAAACATTAAGACAATAAATGTATAAATATTTTTTTATATGATTTTCAATTTTGTCATCATATTTACGCTGACCTTTTTCTAAATTTTGTCTGCCTAATATGTTGTGAATATGTTGTGTTCCTAATACTTATGCCAACTTCTGCAAATTAAGTTAAAATTGAAACACTTTTCTGCGCATGCTTTCCTAATTCCTTGCACCCACTTGGAGTTACTAGCTCTCTCATTTCCTTTTTATTTCTTGGCATTTGGGGGGAGAGTGGGGATTAAGTGGGATTACTCAAACTAGGATGTAGAATTTCTTCATTGTATGAAAAGATGAAATTTCATTTCTTTCAAAAATTGAAAGACACTTTCTGAAATGCTTGTCAGTTATCACAATCTAAAACCACCCACTTATACTTTGTCAGAGAGATCAGACTTCAGTATCAAATCATATCAAAACAGTGCAATGGAAGTGGGTGATATGGACCTACCAGTTTTTGACTTGTCAACTATAGCCAAAGCCACTAACAACTTTACACTCAAGAACAAAATTGGAGAAGGTGGATTTGGATCTGTATACAGGGTAATTTGCTTATAGATTATCATGACCTAAAGAATTGGAAGATAGAATGAAATTTTCTATCTCATGATCATTTGAAAATTAAAATTTTCAGGGAACACTAGCAGATGGACTGGAAATTGCTGTGAAGAGACTTTCACAAAGTTCAGGACAAGGATTGACTGAATTTAAGAACGAAGTAAAATTGATTGCAAAACTCCAACACCGCAATCTTGTAAAGCTTCTTGGATGTTGCCTTGAAGAAGAGGAAAAAATGTTGGTTTATGAGTACATGATAAATGGCAGCCTGAACTCATTTATTTTTGGTATGGATCCAAGGAAGGAATTGTATATTTAAGTAGTTCAGATTAATATCATGATAGATTATCCCCTAAACAATTTTCACACTAGAATATCTTTTAACAGCATATAATCAAATTGATTTTGTTGTCTGATGGAAAAATCTGGCAGATCAGGAAAAGAGTGAGTTACTAGACTGGTCAAAGCGCTTCAACATTATATGTGGAATTACCAAGGGCCTTCTCTACCTTCATCAGGATTCCAGGCTAAGGATTATTCATAGAGATCTCAAAGCAAGTAATGTTTTACTTGATAATGAGTTGAACCCCAAAATTTCAGATTTTGGCATGGCTAGAATATTTGGTGGAGATCAGAAAGAAGGAAACACTGGGAGAATAGTTGGTACTTAGTAAGTGAATAAATGTTCTTCCAGTCAAGCTGAATTCATGACATCTACTTTATCCTAGTTAAGAGATTCACTGCATCAGAATAAATGTTAAGAGTTTCCATTCGAGTAACGAATTAACAGTTTTCATGTAAAACATGTTCTGCAGTGGCTACATGGCACCAGAATATGCAACTGATGGGCTATTTTCAGTGAAATCTGATGTTTTCAGCTTTGGAGTTTTATTGATGGAGATTATATCTGGGAAGAGAAGCAGAGGGTATTACAATCAGAACCACACCCAAAATCTCATAGGCCATGTAAGTAATTAGAGACAAATTGCAAACTCACATGCATCAAACAGGCCTGTATCCTTTATGACAAGTAATTTTAATGTCTTTCAGGCATGGGAACTCTGGAAAAAAGGAAGACCACTAGAACTGGTTGATAAAAGCATAGAAAAGTCCATTTTTCAATCACAGATATTGCGTTGCATTCATGTTAGTCTCTTGTGTGTTCAACAGAATCCAGATGATAGGCCTGGAATGTCTAGTGTGCTCTTGATGTTAGTGAGTGAGGTTGAATTGCCTGAGCCAAAGCAACCAGGATTCTTTGGTAAATATTCAGGTGAAGGAGACTCCTCTACAAGCAAGCAGCAACAAAGTTCAACAAACGAAATAACCATTACCTTATTAGAAGCCCGTTGATAATATTTGCTTGTCACATTCATCATCTAACTTGTATAGATACATAACATTTTGTATCATTAGAAATTAACTCTAGGTCATGGACTATATTCACTCTTTCTCTCCCTTCTTCCTTCTGAGTGAAGTTCTCTTCTAAACATACTAATATTGAATGGGAACACTGAAAGCTTGGTAGCCCTTAATGAGCTGAAAATATGACATCACAAGAAAACAATAAAAAGGTCACAAAAGTAACCAAGAAATCAAATCATGGTTTGTGAGTTGAGTGATACACTTTTGAGTGCTTGAGTGAAACACTTCCCTTGGTAAGGAGTAGTTCTTTGAATTTCTGACTGCATCTTTGCTTGGTTGATTGATCATCCTTAAGGATATCATCTATTGAAGTATATGAGCATCACATTGAGTTTGATTGAATTAAGGCATCTGTACATCTTGACTGACATTTGTATGCTGAGCTGATAAAAGTGATATCTTGTCCTGGAAGAAAAAAAGTTTTGAAAAATGTTGAGTCATTGTAGTCATTATTATGAAAAGCTGAGTTACAATCTGTTTCGCTTGAGGACAAGCAAAGTTCTAATTTTGTGGTTATGATAACGGTTGAAAATACCGTTATTGTGATGTAATTTTGATACTAAATGCACCCTTTTCTGCTTAGAAACTTGCTTGAAATCATGTTTTCCTATTAAGTTGTGTGAATAAGAGAGTTGAGGTTCAATTTAATGATTTTATGACTAATTCTCCTTATTTTGGTTGAAAATGAGATAATATGGAAAACAGGGATTAAGTGAAAAGGAGATGGAGCTTAGAAAGGACTGGAAAAACACTAGAAGGGAGGGATGCTCGAAGCTTGGGCGCCTTCTTTGAAGGCTTGAGCGCAGAAGAGTGTCGTTCACCGCCCGGACGCCCCTTTTTAGGCGCTTGAGTGCTAGAAGCACGAAGCTTGGGCGTCATCTCTGAGGCTTGGGTGTAGAAGAGTACCGCTCATC